CCCTGAGAGGGCAGCTCCTGCCACCTGGGCCGTGTGCTCCCCGTGCGTGCTGAGCTGCGCCGCCCTACCCTTGGTACAGCCCGCGAGCGTTCGTGGCAAAGTCAAACCTCGCCTCTGGGACTGTGGAAAGCTTTTAGGGCAGATGTAACTGGTGAGCACAACCTGCACCACTCCCAGCCCAGACTTCTTAAAGAGATATGTGAACCCTTAAAGTTGTGGCCTGGGGTTTTTGAGGACCAAAACTCCCTAATGTAAAGCACATCTCTTCTATCTTTCTGCCCATCCGTGTTCCAGAGCTCTGCTTTTTCATACAGCAGAGGTACACTTGTGTGCATTTATGCATGTCCATGAAATCTCCATGTCCAGTGACCAAAGTGTAGAGCACCACTAGGTGGCAATACAATAAACCCGGGGAATCCAGCAGCCAGACCCCTCTCACTTTCTTAACGAGTGAAATTCTGGCCACCGAAGCCTGGAGTGACACCCCCAGGAGCTCTTGTTTGGCCTAACTAAGCAGAAGCAGTCTCATGAGCAGTAACAGGAGTTACTGAAACTCCCTCTTCTGAGGTTTAACAATTAGCCTGTAATTAACTGAAGCAGCAATTGTCATGCTACAGTCATAATGTTTAGCACAAGACACAGGGCAACCTTTTTAAAATGTACCTCTCCTCAGTGAGGCATTACAGATATTATTTGGAATGTGTGAGGATTTTCTTTTGCTAAAAGAGTAGTTTTTGAGATTGAAAAAGACAATTATCATCCTCTAATTGGCATTCAGTGTAATGTAATCCCTTAAATGGACCCAGTGAACTCTCTGGGAGCTGGGTGGTTTCATTAAAATACTCAGCCTGGATTTACTGACATCAAGGGAAGTTCAAGCACGTCTTAAATTACTCTGTTGATTGTTATCATGGCTGTGTACATTTCTGGGCAGGTACCTGCTCAGCTCAGGGCACACATCCCTCCAAGGACAGAGGGGAAACCAAGGGCAATAAAGGTAGGACTCATCTCTTGGGGCTTTCAGGAGCCCAGTGCTCACAGAATGAGCAGGGAGCCAGGCATCCAGGACCTCTGCAAGCTCCCACTGCCCATTGCATCCAGATAGCCACAGGTCTGGGTGTTGGAGATGGGGCTGGTTTTGCCTGTACAATTAACAATGTTTTTAGCATACAGCTAGCATGCTGTCCTCTGCAGCATCGTGTCCCTACCATCAGAAATGTAGCTGTCTCTTATGTTGGTGTGTGCTTTGAAGGTCTAGAAGCACTGCTTGTTATAATTCCATAATTCCAAATAACTTTTCCTCGCTTCAGGTTGGAGGTGGGGAAATGAAGCAAAAAAAATCCAAAACCCCAAAAAAAGCCCAACAAACTTGTTGCCCTCCCAAAGTCCTTCCACCCATGCAGACATGGACAAGCCTTACAAAGCATGTCCCCATCCCTCCCCACCTCTCCTGCACAGAGCCAAGGTTGGGGCTTGGCCCAGTTAGGTGACTGCAGCAACCCTTGTCTCAGTGA